AAAAATAATGATCAAAATATAATTTTTCGTTGCATTTCTTCAATACTAACTTCAAAGAAATTACTTTAACTGACAATTCATCATACCTGGGAAGCTTCACGTATTAAAAATTCTTGTATAGCTTCCCTAAATTCTTCATCAACAAGGTAATGACAGCTAAAAGTTGTCACAGGAAGATATCCACGTTAAATCTTGTGTTCACCCTGAGCTCCCGCCTCTACTGTTTTAAGATTCAGTTCTATAGCTGCTTCAATTGCCTGTCATGTCAAAACAAAGACTAAATATATTTTTTGTTTCCCTGATATACTACATCTGAGTTATATGCACACATAATGACAGAAAGATCGAGTATAATTATAGTTTTTCTTCTCTTGATAAAAGAAAAAACTATATTGTAGTCCAAAAATGAAAAGTAAAAGATATCCTCCTAAATCAAATCAAAAAAGAAAAATAAAGCATTTTCATGTTCCTGAAACTTCCATAAACACTGAAGCCAATATAACAAAATGAAAGTGAAAAAGGCGTGGGTGGGGGGAGGGAATTGATAAACAAAAAATGGCGAAGGGTGGAAAAGTTAGAACTCATAAACAACTTGAAAGAAGAGGGTAAAAGCTCCTTTCAACCAAACAATAGGTGGAGGAGTGGCTAAACTAGAGGTTCAAGAGAAAAAAAAAATTATAAGCTGACAATCACTAGGAATCAAAAAGGGAAGTCTATTCCTTAAAAAGATGCAATGGAGGAACGTCTGATTGAAAACTACAACATTATTCCCCAACCATAAAATTAAAACCTAGCAAAAATAGAAATAATCATCTTATAATAATTGAAGGGGAAAAATGAGAAGTACCTGGTAATAACATGCTTCAAAATGCAGACTTCTTATAATGCCTTAACTTTCTCAAATAACTGTATTGAATGAGAGAAATCTTAAAAATAGGAAAGTCAACATATTGAGCTAAAACTAAACAGGGGCAATCTCATCTCATCAAGGAAATCATGTGATTTTTCCCAAATTTTTATAAACACCATTGATGTGTCAAAATTAGTTCCCATTTCATCTCAAAACAGGATGTTTTCAAAAATAGGTCCAGATTCATACTCATCTTTATAAGTTCATAAGTAAGTCTCAACTCATGCAAAATAGGTGCTTCCAAAACCATTAGAACCATCACAAAGTCTACTTTCAACAAAAGTGCCAAAGAAATATAATTGTTGTTATAGCAGTACAGTTTGCATAAAAAACATAGAGCATGTCTAACTCGCAGGGGACAATACCAAACTCATCAAAAATCACACAAGCATCCAAATCATATGTGACCAATTGTGTTAGGATCTTCTTTTTGATGAAAAAAAAAAAATCGAACCTACCAAGTAAAACCCCACACAAAAAAATCGAACCTCCCCACATACTTCTTTTCTTTTATACTAAATTTCTCCTTTTATATTAAAGAACTTGCCTGATTTCTTTTTTTGGCCAACAGCGGAATTAAACCTTAATTAATGAATGGGATTCAGACTAGTTTTAAAAAATGGGTATATGGTTCTTGCACGTTCAGGATAATTTTGGTGGTTAACACTATTGATAGTACATGGTCATAAAAGCTTTGATACTATCTCGTGAATTAACTACTACTAACACTAACATTATATGGTTTAAGAAAATGGATTATAAAAGAAAACAATTCAAATTGATGGTACATATTTTTTGTCTGAGAAAGCTTTAATGGGCAGAGAAAGCTTTTAAATGATACCTTCACAGTGGAAAGAGTAACAAAAATTATATTTTTAGTTTATTACTATCCATAAGCACAGAATATTTTAAAAGATATGTGGAAGATACGTGGAATATATATTCATATAAACATGCTACCTAAATGCTAATATCTAAATGCTAGCTACCTAAATCATTAGAACATCACATTTAGTACATGAATCGAAATATATTCATATAAACATGCTACCTAAATGCTAATAACTCCAGAAATTCTGAATCAACCTAAAAATTGAGAGAACCCAAAATAATTATGCTTATAACAACAGTAAACTTTACTGACACGTGATCATATAATTAATTTCAGGAATAATCTATATTTAATTGGTACAGCAATGAGATTACTTACCCCTGTTTCTTCTTTGACCTCTCTTACTGCTACTACAAAAATATCCTCTTCCTACATAAATTGAACAAGTAGATTATATGCACGTAGTATAGATCCTTATTTCTTTATAACAAAGATATTGAACACATCTACCTGCTCAACAACTCCAGTAGGGAATTTGTAGACTCCAATTCCCTGAAATTGTCCACTATTCTCCTGAACAGCTAGGACCTAACATTGTTGAATAAATAGAAAATAAGATTTTAATCATCAATGAGTTTAGTACCAAGAAAATTAAGATGCTCCTTTGTAAAACTACAATCATGAAAAAGACAGACCAATTCACATGGGGAAACAAGCAAACCCAACACTTGATGTAAAGCTATTTTTTAATTTAAAATGAGAAAATGATCTTCTTAAAAACTAAAATATATTCTCATTAGTATTACTCTACTTTAAAACATATTTTTATTCTATTACAAAAGTGGGCCTGTGGTCTATATTCTATTGGAATATTTATATATATTCATTGAACTCACCGTTCTGGCTGTCATATGCATGTCTGTCTGGTGCTGATTAACAGGTAGTTATACACTTTTGCACCGTTTAATTTATGGGTCAACAGAAATTTACATCACATGAAAGGAAAAAGCTCAAATTGTTCAATCATACACGTAAAAACATAGATTGTTATTCACTAACCATCACAAAGGAACACTACGAAGAATTGAGAACAGTTCACACCATGGGGAATCAAGGTAAATTGAAACCCTAAACATTGATATCAGAAAACAAGGCAACCCTAACCATGAAATGTAAGGTGTATTTCTCGCTCCCTCTCGCATTGTAACATAAATAAACTGATTTTTGGTTTGGCCAGTTATGAAAGACTCTCGTGTTTGGGGGTTTTTGAGTCGAGACATAAATGCAATTTGGGGGTAAAAAGAGAAAAAAGATATGTACCAGGGTTTTGTGCTGTAGAGGAGCACAATAACTCTTGTGTTGTAGAGGAGCGTAGTCAACAATGTGCGCAGTGCGGCGGGGTGGGCTGCGGTCTCAACGAAGGAGGAGGGTTTTGTGAAAATGGAGCATTTTAGTGAAACAGGGGCTAACAAAATTGAAGCTTTTCGTTTTGTGGCTCATTCTTTATACATTGCGACAACTCTACTAAACTGCCTCAATATTTAACAATTTAACGACAGTTAATGGGAACTGCCATGTAAACTGTCGTAATGTTGAAGCGGAGACGGTTATAGTATAACCGTCGCAATCTCTGGGTCGCGATTTTACTATTTTCTTGTAGTGTGTTGTTTCTAAAGTCTCCAATAAGGTAAATTTCGTTGTCGTTTTTATTTTCATTTTCTTCTTGTGTCTCTTTTCGTTTTCTCATGCTTTTCTCGTCTCTATTTTCGTTGTAGGTTCAGTTTGGGTAAATTTTGAACCTAGAACGGCCCGTTCTCCTTAGAGAACAGGCCGTTCTGCAAGGAGAACGGGTCGTTCTCCCTGAAGAACGGGTCGTTCTCCCTGAAGAACGGGTCATTCTGAAAGGAGAACAGGTCGTTCTCCCTGGAGAATGGGCCGTTCTGAAAGGAGAACGCCCTGTACTAAAGTTAACTTTTTTGGCCTTTTGAACAGATTGGAACGGCCCTTTCTAATTTTGGAACGGCCCGTTCCAGTTTAATATTTTTTCGTGGCCAGACTTTTAAGATCGGTTATAAAACAACCGATCTTAAAAGTTAACTTTTAAAATCGGTTGTTTAACCGATTTTAAAAGTCTAACTTTTAAAATCAGTTGTTTAACCGATTTTAAAAGTCTAACTTTTAAAATCGGCTCTTTCAAAATCGGTTACGGAACCAATTTTAAAACTTAAAAATAACTGATTTTTAAAGTCTTTTTTCCACTAGTGATCGTGAAGGTAATCAAAATGTTCATATTTTAGTATATTTTGAAATGTATGTATTACGTTAATTTTATTTTTATAAGAATGAAGTATCAATTCATCTTTGATTAATATAAAATTTTGTATATGTGATTTAAGTGTAAAGAATTTTCAATTTAATGGTTGGATTTACAAAATTCTAATTTAATATAAAGTTATTGAGCAGTGTAATAGTAAAAGTAATTATACCAGTGTTATTATAACCCTCCTCATATATATATATAT